CAAAACCAAAACCCTCATCCACCTCCTCCTCCTCCTCCTCCCCAACGCTAAAAATACAGCCCCACAAGCCACCTACGAGCGATTCATGAAAATGCAGCCTACCGAATTCCACGGCGGCCCAAGTCCAACTGTTGCCGAAGAATGGATCAAATCCCTCGAAGTTATTTTCGAGTACATGGTGATGAACGACAGCGACCGAATCCATTGTGCATTATTCTTGTTGAAAAACGAAGCCCGAAATTGGTGGGAAGGCGCAAAGAGTGGGATCGATCTAGCAAATACCACTTGGGAAGCTTTCAAAGTTCTTTTCTTCGAAAAGTACTTTTCCAAAAATGTTCGAGCACAAAAGCTTAAGGAGTTTCTCGAACTCAAACAAGGAAACCTAACCGTTGCCGAATTCACACGCCGTTTCGAGCAAGGAAGCCTCTACGCACCTTTCATATCCAAGGACGACACCGAGAAAATGAATCACTACCTAAGAGGCCTCAACCCGATAATCAAGCGCGATGTTCGACTAACCTCTGCCTCTACTTTCCGCGGAGTAGTGGACAAAGCCTTGGAAGCCGAACAAGACGAGATGGAAATCCGACAATGGAAACCTCCTCACGATGCCTCTTCTCGACCATGGAAGAAACCGAACCTCAACAACTCCAAAGGAAAGCAACCGATCAACCGAGCAACCGTGACCCCGAGCAACAAGCCCTTTTGCCCTAAATGCAAGCGAGAACATTCAGGCGATTGTGTTGCCGGAACCGACCATTGTTTTCGATGCAAGAAGCCCGGACATATGGTCCGAGACTGCCCTATCGCCCCGAGACAAGTGCCGGGACGAGTATTCGCCATGACAAGAGACCAAGCCGAAGCTGACCCGTCAATGATCGCAGGTACCGTAAATGTGTATAATAATTCCGTGTATGCCCTCATCGACTCCGGATCAACTCACTCATTCATCTCAAGTACCTTCGTTGCCGAACTCCGCCTAGTCCGTAGTCAAGCCAATGCCTTGTTTAGCATACTTATTCCTTCCGGTGATGAACTTAAATCCAATTTCATCATCAATGATTGCCCTATTCAGATTCATAGCCAAACCCTAGCCTCCGATCTGATCATCCTACCCATTAAACATTTCGAAATAATCCTCGAAATGGATTCGTTATCAAAATTCGATGCCCAAATCAATTGCGCCCACAAAACCGTTCGTTTCTCCTTACCGAATGGAAGTTTTCTCGAATTCCGAAGCTCGTACAACCCGTCGATTCATATCATTTCAGCCATCAAAGCGAGCAAACTTATTCAAAAAGGACATCTATGTCATTTGGTCGACGTAGTGGAAACTCTCAACGAAGATAAAGCCGACATTTCCAAAGTGCCAACCGTTTGCGAATTTCCCGATGTCTTTCCCGAAGATCTCCCCGGTCTTCCGCCCGATCGTGAAATCGAATTTGAAATTAATTTGATCCCCGGTTCCGCTCCTATCTCGAAGGCACCTTACCGCATGGCGCCGTTAGAGCTAAAGGAACTCAAGGACCAAATTCAAGATCTTATCGACAAGAAGTTCATCCGCCCTAGTTTTTCCCCATGGGGTGCTCCGGTACTCTTCGTGAAAAAGAAAGATGGAACCCTCCGGATGTGTATCGATTACCGAGAACTCAACAAGGTCACCGTAAAAAACAAGTATCCATTGCCACGAATTGACGACCTTTTCGACCAACTTCAAGGCTCCACGGTCTATTCCAAAATCGACCTCCGTTCCGGATATCATCAATTGAAGATCAAGAAGGAAGATATTCCGAAGACCGCGTTTCGGACTCGTTACGGCCATTACGAATTTGTAGTGATGTCGTTTGGTCTAACCAACGCCCCAGCCGCTTTCATGGATCTCATGAATCGAATCTTCCGCAAATACCTCGATCAATTTGTGATCGTATTCATCGACGATATCTTAGTGTATTCAAGAAATGATGAAGAACATCGGAATCATTTGGAAACGGTGCTCCAAACTCTCCGAGAGAACCA